TACTATGTTATGCCACAAGACAAGCTTTTCAGCTGCGGTAAGGTTAAAACGTTGATAGAAATAAAAAATATATATTTTACTTTGCTCGCTTCAACAGAGAAATATCAACATTATAAATAAAATATTGCTTAGCTTAACACGGACAGACATTTGTATTGTATTATTTTGAGTTATTAAAAGGGAATTTGAATGCCTTTTTTACTTAATTTTAATTCATTCAACTTTTAACTAACACTGTAGAAGAAAAGAGAAAAAGTAACCAGAATCAGCTCAATAAAAAATCCTCTTTGATGCGTCTCAAAGCGAAAAACTTTTTCAATTAAACATTTTCTTCTTAAAAAACAGACACGCATCGAGCAAATGCCCTTAGCAAAAAAATAACGTCGAAGTCAGAACCAAATGGCTGAAAAAATCGAACAAAATATGAAAACATAAATTTTTTTCGCTTCTGAATCGAACTTCTGCGTTGAAGTGCACCAGATTTATGCAGCCCCCAAAAAATTGATTGTAGGATGTCTGCCCAATGGAGAACGCAGCAAAAAATAAATGTGTATTGTTGTTTTTTTTTCTTTCTTTCTTACTGTTGTTTATAAATTTTTATTTGTAATTTTCTTTGCAGCTGAAAAGGCAACAACTGCGAAATTAAAACGCGAAGCTAAAGAGTCGCCGAGCTGGCTGGCCAATTGTTTATGGCTTATTGTTGCTTGTTCTTGTGGAACTTTCTGTGGTGCTCGGTTGCCAAAGCGCCAAGTGCCAGACGACCCAAGTTGTCGAGCACCAGTCGAATTCGCAAACATTTTGAATATTTTATGCAAACTTTATTAGCAATAAAATCAAGTTAGCTGCCAAACACTTGTAATGAGCTGGCAAAAGGGCAATGGACATGCGGAAAAGTCTGCATTTCCAATGGGAAATGCCAACGACAATCAACTTTTTCATCAGCAATGGCTGCAATATGAATTTTTAAAATTCTCTACAAATAAACATCATATGTTCTTCATGGTGTCTTAGGTATATGTATCACAGTCGATTGCATTCACAGACGTCTACACTGTCAAATTGGCGCAGGTCCTTTTTCCGTTAAGAGTATGTTATGTACTATTATATTTAAGAAGGAGAACTCAGTCTGTTATAAGTGAGAATATATATATAACAGTTGCACATAAACGAACCCTCTACAAGGGTTTAAAAGACAAGACAAATTTAAATGTGAATAAGTAAATACGTTTTAAATACTCTTAATTATATTTTATAGCAAGGCATACGAAACGATATTGTAAACATAAAATACTAGACTTCAAAAGGGCACGTTGCAAAGAAAACTACTGATTTAGTATATAATATTTTGAAGGATATTCCCTGAATCTAGTTTTGCATAAATATTATCCTACACAACTGAGGCTAGGTACTATTATGAGCACGCATTAACTTTGAATGTACTGTGATATGAAAATGGAACATTTTCCACCTTTCTCACGCACTTCTGCCCTCTGTCGAGCACATTTTACATCTGACGCCGCTTATTAAAATTTTGCACACAAAGCCAAACGAGTGAGCTACCAGCTCAGTAGTAAAAGTGAAATTAATAAACAAACAAAATGCAAAAAAAAAAAAGAAAGAAAAAAGATTTTCAAGTATACGCAGTGTGTGACGCACCCCCCGACGCTGACTCTTATCAACCATTTGAAATTTTCAAATGTTATGCATTTTTTCGCACATTTACTTAACAAACGCGCTGAGCACGAGGGCCATAAAAATGCAATGAGAAATTGTGCGGCAAGAGCAGGAAAAAGGGAAAGAGCAAGAGAGGGATGAGAACTTTGGGGATGTGCTGCTTCGACTAGGGGCTGTCAGCTGACAACAAACATGTTCTACACATTCAACGTTCAACTCACAGACAGGCCGTTGTGTGGCACAAACTATAAAGACGGCAACTTCAGCTACTTGTCACCGCGACGCAACGTTCCAAACGCTGCCACGCCCAGCCCTATAAAGTTCTCTGCTGCGAGTTATTGCCCGTGTTTTGTTCGTGTTTGTGTGTTTATCTTATAACACGTAGCCCAAAGCCAGGTCGGTGCCTCATTTGCCTCCAGTTGTTAATTAAGTTGACGTCGCAGGAGGCTACGTGCCAGACGCTGAATTCTATTGGGGCTCAGCGGCCCAACGCCCCAAGAGCTCCACAACTCCACAGCTGGCTATCGGAAGCTGTCACTTTTATATTAAATTTCTAGGCAACACATTTCGCTTTTATTTTGACATTAATATTAATATTCAATTAGCCAGGCCCACACGCAGCCTTGGGCCGTCCAATTAATGTTAATTATGCTAAGTAGAAGAGGCCACTTGGAAGTTTTTCTTATTTTATGCCCAAATTGCTGTCAAGTTTTTATTATATTTTTTTAATTTTAAATTTTTTGCCAGTCTCATAAATTGCGACACTTGACCTCACTGTCCCCGAAAGTATAAATTTGATTTGTCTTCTTTTTATTCGTATTTCTCATGCTTCATTATCTCGTTGTTCCACAGTAATACCAATGGCATGTTAATTGCTTTTAAATTGCAAAAAGTCGTAAGCGTTAAAACTCAAATTAACAAAGCTATTGAACAATTTCTTCGATCTGCTCGCCCGCCAGTTTTGTTTATTATGCTAATTGAGTCTCTATTTCGGGGTGCTTGGTTTTTCGTCAGGCTTGGGCTTTACGGCAATTAACTGTGTATCCGTTGGAGCCGGATTGGTGTGGGACCTGTCTAACTTTTAAATATTGCCATAAAACATCTGTGCTTGTATCTAACAGATAAGGGATAAGGTAAGAGGAGAAAATCCTCAAGCATCCCTAAGCTATTTCAAAAGTACTGTACATTATTTAAATTATAATGAATCGAGGATTAATCTCCTTTAATATTAATTCTGCCTTCGAATCATTTCTTTATAAAGGGGATATTATAACGTGTTCATGAAGTACGTAAAACATCGAAGTTTATTTTCTTGATCAGCATCTGTCTTTCCATTGCCAGCAATACATACATACAATACATCGGAGCCGGCCAGATCGGAAGACTATGTCATATTAACGATCGATTGAAAAATAGTTTCCTGTTTTTCAAGTTACCCAGACCAAGCTCGGCATTTACTAAGTTCACTCCTTTTAAATATCTTACTGTTTTTAAAACTTATTTAAATAAATATTTCCTGATCAAATTAATGTTATGAATGGATACTTGAGAGAACTGTAGTTCTTACTACACTTCACATATCCGAATGGGTTTCTGTTCTGCTTACGCCTCCTAATGGCTACCTCTTAATGTTGTGAAAAGGTTTTATTAGTTTTATGACAGGGCTGAGTATTCTTGAAACAAAGTGAGTAGGTTTTCGACATGGCTTTTCCCTGCCACGAAGTCTTTTGGCCACCGCTCGGCATTCGTTTAACCTTCATAAATGATATTGCTTTTAGCCAGCTCAGCGCACATTAGCGCCAGTGCCGCTCGCATGTGCCGCCCATTTATAAGTCATGCCCAAAAACTCTAAACGTGGCAACCTGAGGGGCAACGCCCCGGGGGGGCTGGCGCTGCAGCACCTGCGTCCGGGTGCCACGCATATTTAAACATGCCAAAACTTTTGCGCCTCTCGACCTTTGGCCAAACATTCCGGACGAAACATAGCGCAGCTGACCCGTCGACTGCTGCTGATTTCAAATTGAGTTCCCTTTCGGTTTCGGTCAATGCATATAAACTGGGCCCAGCGGCAATCGCAACGCGCAAAATCACAGGCGGCTAACCATGCAAACTGTTAAATGTTTGCATATCAATCTTTTCTTCCGAGCGCTCTGTCGGCCTGTTTCTCTTTCTGTTCAGTAGCTGATTCAGATTCTGGTACTGGCAAAGCGGACCAACTGTTTGGGGGCTTTCAGCTTTCAGCCTAAACCAAGTGGGAGCCATACATTTTGCAATGTTCCAGTGGCTGGCGCTGGCACTGCTGTTGCTGTTGCTGTAGCTATTGCCAAATAACTTCCGTTTCGTTGTGCTCCGCTTTCTGTTCCCCAGAGAAAAAGCAAAACCCCAAACAATGAAAGGCATTGCCAACACATTTTCACCGGGGCTAGGAAACAAAAACCTTTACAAAAAGTTTGCATACGCCAAAAGTCAATTGAAAGGTAAGGGCAGCGGCAGCAGCAGCATCAGCAGCACCAGCTCTTGATGCATTTACCTGGTCCTGTACCCTGAACGCGCTTAGCCTGGTCCTTATGAATAACGTTTGCAATTGAGTTTGACATACATGAGGAATTGTATGGCAAGGTAGATCTTCGGTAAGGTTGGGACAGGGGCTGCCTGCTTGCCAGTTGCCGACTTGATTGATTGATGAAATATTTGGGAAAATGGGGCTGCGAATAGCAGCCAGGCTAAAGGGTAAATCCATTACGATAGTTAACACATTACACAACAAGCTCATGTCCAGTTTTCAAATTATTTTTTTGCTTGTGTGGGCATGTGGATTATTCAAAGTTTAAGGATTGGTTAGTTTTTATGTAGACCTAAAGCCAAACGGACAAAAAATGAACTTTCGTTCGTCTCAGGCCTTTGAACCTTAAGACCTTAAGACGCTTTTCTAAAACAATTCGATGTTTTGATAGAGTTTTTGCAGTCTACGATTGCACTGACAGGAATTATAGAAATTATCTATTGAATAACTAATGTTTTCTTAACCGGGATAATCTATATTCTAGAGAATAACAACAATAATCAAATATGTGCAACTGGATTTCCAATTTATAAATAATTCTGAATTAAAAATTGAATTATTTCATTAAAATTTCATTAATAAAGAAATGCTTTTAAAAAGTTTAAACCAGTTTTTCACCTGTTTCCCATGCTTATAAATGATAGGAAATAGGGAAATACTCAGATATTGTTCGAATATCAATATTTATATACGAGGATCGGCGTTCGTTTCGCAAGCGATTATTTTTATTGGATATATCTTAGCTTCTATATGTTCAACTCACCTATAATCAGCACTGGCATAGCAATCGCCGAGGAAACGGCACTGTAGTGTATTGCATTGAGTGGTCTTCACCTCGTGCTGCACCTCGTAGGTGATATTGAAGCCATAGACGTCTAGCAGGCGGTCCAGAGCGCGCAGATGAGTCCCATCCAGCGTGGCCATGGTGAATCGTATTTCCAGGTATTGACTGTTGAACTGCATCCAGGTGACCTGCGTGACATCCTCCTCGGTCAGGGCGAAGACACGGTGGGCGGGCACCTTGAAGTCGTCCGAGTAGTACATATACTCGGTGAATTTGAGGCCGCCCAGCACGTAGAGCTGCGTCAGATAAACCACGATGGACACATTGCCCTGAGCGGTGGCTGGCAGCTCAGATGCATCAATTATCCAAACGCATTCGATGGGCGTGGTAAAACGATGTGGAAAATTTGGTGTTTGAATGAGGCCATAGCGTGAGTTGAGTAGGCCCCCACATCCCGGCGAGGAGGAAGAGGAGCTGGAACTATAGCCTAAGCCGGAGCCGGGGCCGGAGCCAATGCCGCCTGCTGCCTGCTCCCCAATGGCAAATGCATTCAGTGCAAAGTTATGCTTGGCCGCCGGGAAAGGCGGCGGAGGTGGCAGAGGCACCGCGGGCAGCGAGAACTTCTGATCCGAGTTGTTTTGACGTTTGTGGCGCACATGTTGCAGCTGTTGTTGTTCTTGTTGTTGTTGATTTGTTAGCAATGTTGCCGCTGGAAGCAGCATAAACAGCAGCAATATCGTTGATAACCTGACGGTTGTCAGCTGCGACATTGACTTGGCTTTTATTATCTACTCGCTTATTCTGTTACTCTATTTCAACTGGGTCTCCTTCAGCTGGGCGTCTCCTGTTGCTGTCGTCTTATCATTTGCCCAACGATATGCATGGAACACGGTCAGTTGTCGCAGTTGTTGCTCCGACCCAGCCACTCATTGCCTGCTGGCCCACTGCAAGAGAGAGAGAGTGAGAGAGAAGTGTGAGACAAAAAAAAAGGTGAGATGATGTAAAATTTTTAGCAGAAACCATTTTGACAGCTGTCGTTTGCATTTGAATAACTGCCGCCGTCGCTTTATCCAATCCCACGCGTTTCGACTCACCCCTGCGCGCCCACATGTCGGCTTGCACGAGAACTAGAAAATCGTAAACTGTCAGCGTGAAAAAGCAATTTCGAAATCCACTAAAAATGGAGCGCAACGCCACGCATCAATCATGGCCGCCGTGAAGCGGGCCTGCTCATAAAACAAAGGCCCGAAATACTCGGCACTCGAGCGCTTTTCTTTGTCAACTTTCAAATTGTTTTCCCATATTTTGTTGGCACTTGTTTTTCATTTCGGTAGCCGCTTTGAAGCTCAAGGCTCACTCGTCGCACATTTGTTGACGCTCCTGCATCTGTCTGCGGGCCATTCCCAGCGCCAAATTGCGAAAGCTCTTCAACTGGTTGACTTTTGTAGTTTTCGTGGGGTATTAGTGGCAGATTTGCATTTGAACAACGCAAGCTCCCACTGAGTGAGCGGAGGCCCAAAAGCAAAAATCATATGGATAAATATGGGAGAATTGCTTGGGAATATGCGTTAACGTTTCCTCAAGTTTTCACGCTCAAATTTAATACAAAACTTAAAGAATATCAGACCCAGAACAAGCTGACCAATAAAATTGGCAATTCATTGATAATATTCTATTTCAAATACATTTTGAATTGTTAATCGATGAGCAACGTTTTTTTTTAGCAACTTTAAAGTTGGCTTCAAATAACCAATTGCTCAGTGATCAAAAAATAATCTTGTTTTTACTATCTAATAGCTAATATTATTTATTTTTATAAGGTAATGACGATAATGAATCAAACAATTAAGGTAAACGAAATGCTAATTGCTAACAACATTTCAAGCTCACATTTCACAGTCATTAAACACACACACACACAAATGTATACTCTGCACAAAGAGCATCTAAAAGACATTAAACACATCGAATGCAATTAGCAAAATAATTAAAAGCAATGCTATCTGGCATCAAATCACAAAGCAAGCAGGACTAATCACATTCAAAATAGATTTGCTGATGTTATGAATAACTGCATTATAGCATATTTACAGCACATAGTAAACAAAAATATAATAGCTAAAACAACAAATTGTACACAAATTGGCAAAGCCAAAACAAATTATAAATTACCAAAATGCCTGCCGCAAATACCATGTGGCTCAAATGTCATACGAAAGCAATGTGAGCGTTTGATCCATAAATTATTGACAGTCTCGAGCCACACAAGCATTGAGAGTAGGGCGATAAATGGCATTGTGTGTGGCTCTGAATATACATTCTAACATGTTTGCTTACACACACAAACACAATGCGTCTCTCGCTGCAGGACTTTTTTTTCTGCTTTACATCAATTCTTGACACATATCTTTGAATCAGCATTAATTTTTTTTGATTTAAAATAAGTACACATATTACATTTGTCACTTCAAGTATTTGTTTATTATTTTAAGACATTTCGAGCTTCAGGAACTTAAGCTATTTATGCGAAGCTGGGTAATTATTTTCTAGTTTTTGTATATATGGTAATGCAATTTAGATGTAGACATGGGAGAGTGGAAATAACTACTACTTAATTTATTGTAGTAATATAAATGCATACATACGTGCAAGCATATAGTCAAGGCCCACATAGCTCAATTATATTCCCATATTCCTCCTTTACTTTAATTCTTTCAAGAAGGGCTTGACAAATCCGATTACTTCTTGTACACAATTACCTTTTCACTTAACCTTTAGTCTGCAAGCATAAAACGAACCCGGAGTCAGGTGCGATCGAACATCAGAACAAAAAAGACGCATCAAGTCTATTTTGTGTTTAAATTTGATAAACAACAGAGTATTTGCAATAATATGACTTATATGTGACGTCAGAGCCAGCCAATTTTCATTAAGGCTGCCTTTTGGATCGAAAAGGAACACCAATACGGTATTTGATAAATTCAACTCTCAGTTGGGAAAAACGAAAACAACACAGCCAAAATATTTGTTCCTAAGCAAAGTGATATCATGAATATGTCTGACTTATTATTGCCCGTATCTGTGCGTCTTACTGACAAGCGAGAGGTCACCGGTTCAAATTTAGTTGGTATTTGTTTGATTATTTCAACTAAAATTCCTAGAAATACAATTATTTGAAAGTCCTCAATTAGCCACAACTCCAAATGTGCGAAAGGGTTGTTCGTGGTGAATATTTAAACTGACTTTCCATGTAATCGCAACACAAATAAAGTCGCAATGGATTCTGTAAGTATCTGATTGCCTGTTACAAACTTTAAATATTTGTTTTGGGGAGAGGTAAAAAAAAACCATAAGCTGTTTAATGCCCATGATATGGACATATCTTTCTGTTTGCTTTTCTGTCTGTCAATCTGTGCAACTGTCCGTCCGTCCGTCTGTTTGATTCTACGCAATTTCCTTTGGATTGTTATATATATATGCTTAGCTCTCACTTTCCTTCTAGTCTCGCTAGTGAAAACTGGATCTGAAGTGGGTGAAGCAAATAAAAACACTTGCACCAAATATCTTCTTTTTTTTGGGAATTTGTGTTTAAATCTTACTTGTCTCTTAAAGACAGGCCTGAACGTATTTCGTACACGTCGCATTTGGCTTTAAGGAAACGGCAAAGGTGTATAAACTTTGGTGCTGCTGATGGTGCTGCTGATGTTGATGCTGCTGCTGATGCTGCTGCTGATGCTGCTGCTGATGCTCTGTGTGCGCTAACAAGTTTAATCAAATGACAATGTCGTAACACGTGCATACATTTGGGCGCCCTAAAGGCATAGCTGCCACTGCTTGACTAAGACAAGTCATAGCTGAAAGCCCTGGCACATGTGAGCACGCAAAGTCATAGGCCTTTAAGCGCCAGTCTCTGCCCGCGCCCCCTGTTTTTGCATAGCTCCCCTCCAGCTCTGCTCTCTGCGTGCGTGAGAGTGCGCGACTTTTACTTTCAAATTACTTTAGTTACGCATTTTAAGCATAATGAATAATTTTTTGGAGCTTGGCATGCGAATATCGTGCCTGTAAAAAGTTCATTTACTTGCCCGTCATATATTAGATCTCAAGAGGGCTTTATAGAGTTATTGCCCTGGATGATGGCACTCTTATTAGAGCTCTGTATAAACTACAACATTATGAAATATTTGATGAAGGTATCTCAAAAATGTATTTATATGGGTTATGTATGTATTCAGGATAAGTTTTATGATTTAAATGCTTTCCTTTCAGAAAAGCATGCAACTAAAAAAAACATCTACCACTGTGTAGTTAGAACTAACTGCTAAGGGCTTGCATACTTTTAGGCCGTCATATTCAAAACTATCGATAACTAAGATATTTTATACCCTTGCAGAGGGAATTATAATTTCGTCTCGACGTGTGTAACGCATAGCAGGCGACATCTCCGACCCCATGAAGTGTATATATTCTTGATCAGTATCAACAGACAATACGATATAGTCATGTCGGTCTGTCCTTCTGTCTGTTTCTATGCGAACTAGTCTCTGAGTTTTTAGCTAACGTCATTATACTCATTATACGGCTGGATCGGACCACTATATAATATAGCCGCCATAGGCACGATCAGTCGAAAATGAGGTTCTTGTATGAAATTTTTTTGTTTCTCAAGATAACTTAGCTATTCTCGGCATTTGCTACTTTCCCTGGGCTTCTTAGATACGGACAAAGCATTTAAAGCATTCTGAAAGGATTGGGCCCGTAAGGGTATTAAATCTTCGGCGTGGCGAAGCGATTCCAATATTTTTAATCGATCAAAAGCTCTCTTTACTCATTGCACTGCAGGGTATCAGGAGTTAAGCTTAGAATGCTTGACCTGAGGCAGTGCTTACGACCTTTTCAGTGCACTACGATATAATAAATCTTCGGAGTTCTGCTCAAGGATATGCCCGACCAAAATAGAAATTTAAGTAATAGTCTTTCTGCAGGCAACCCGATTCCGCAATATTAAAGCATCTGCCTGCTCGATTTCCCAAGGAAAAGATAAATGCCACATAAGGTTAAAATTATGGACTCCCTAACATTTTCGGTTTAAAAAATACGTTGTTCAGCATTAAGTCAGTCGGGCCAAACAGTTTAATATAGATCGAGTTATGTATGAATCTATATGCATTCTCTCTGAAGAGCTATTGTATTGAGTGTGCTAATCTCTCTCCAATCTCAATTTTCCAGTAAATAGAATTATTAATATATGTGAGGAAAAAAAGAAAAATAAAAGTATGAAATTCACGTCAAAACAATGACGCGCTGCCCTGCACCTGTCCGTTGATAACGGGGCGGGCGTTCAGCGTTTTGCTCGACGGGCACTTCAACCTCAACTCAGATACCGATAAAGAGCCCCAGGGCCCAGCCAGCTGCTCAGTTGCCGCTGCCGCTGCTGCTGCCGTCGACGCGTCGAGCAAATTGCCAATTTAAATTGGCCGCGTTAAATTAGTCGAGTTATCAGCCTCCACGGCGGCAGGTGTACGGGTAGTGAGTGCTGCGGATCGAGCTATAGTTGTTATTGTATTTTTGTTGATATTCATGTAATTTATAATAGTTGTGACTTCTTAAAGAAATGAAGCGGAAATTGTAACGTGCCCAATTGAGCAATTTCAAAAATATTCCTAAATTCTAACTTCTTAACGGAAATGTGTGCACCGGGGGCTGCGGCTTGTGGTTAGAGCATGAGCGGCTGGCGTGTCCGTTTCGAGTGGTTTGTTGAAAAGTGAATGAAATAAATTCGACAAGAGAAATAAAAAACGAGTGTGAGTGTGAATGTGAATGTGAACAGCGAGTAACCAAACGCTCACTTATCGGTGTCCATGAAATTATAGAGCAAATTCGATAAGAAGTTGTTTCTTATGCCCACGGCACACAGTCACTGCTAGAACTCTGATCTGTGCTGTCAAATGTTTTGTTTTATTCCATTTACCTAACAAATAGAACAGCCTGCGAATCAATCACATTGCGTCTGATATGGATATCTAATCAAAAGAAATAAGCTTCAGTTGCTTCCATTTTTTTTTTGCTTTCATAATTTCCTTACTTACGCTTATTTCCTAATCTGGGATCTTGTATTTTGAGAGATTTGGATGTTTTGTGAAAATGCGCTGTAAAACTCCAGTTAAATAAGACCAACAATAGAGAGCAGCAAAAACAAAAGCATAAACAAAAATAAAAGAAATATTCCGCTGATAACTGCAAACCGAAATATCAATAAAACAATATAAATGACGACCTCGTGACTCTTGTGAATCGCTTGTCGATGTTGTTATTGGTGGCAAGAAAAGTGAAATACAAATGATTGTTAAAAGACAACAACAACATATAAGTTATGCTATTCTTTTGCCGTTTTCGATTTGCAAAATACAATTGTTGTGTTCTTCCGCTGTTATCTATACAGATGTCGTGTAATACGAAACTGATATCATCTATAAGTAGCAAGATGTATGCAGAACGGTATTGTTGGATAGATAATTGAAGCAGTCCGCGTCTGCGATTTGGTCAAGTCGCAAGCCGCAGGTTTCGATTGTGCCTTTGATTTGAAACCGTCTGTTGAGCTGATAAGATACAAGGAATAACCCAGTTTAATTCACGGCCACAAACTAAAGGGCCAAGCGGCCTTTTCTTGTACCCCAAAGCAATTGGCCAAACAATGAAATCCTCCGCATAAATAGAAAACAATTAGCCGTTTTAAACGATAAGAGATGTACGATAAAAATACAAAAAAAAATCCAATTCTTCAGTGACTCATAACCGCGGAATTGGCGAGTCGAAACATGGCGAAGCGTGGCAATGGGCTTCGGGCTCTGACTAATTAGCTCATTCATTTGGCGATGCGTGAAATTTATGAACTTTACAACTTTTGCTATAAGTGGAAATATATCTGATGAAAAGCGAGTTTGCGTTTTACTTTTGTGCAAGCGCTGAAAGAGCCTAATCAGCTACTTTGGTCGATATATTGAAGGCCTTTTTTTTTAAACTATTTGCTATTTAACGACATTTTTGATAACACAGTTTAACTATTCATTGAATTTGACAAAAATATTAATAATAAATACAAAAAATTCGATTTTTGAGACTTTTTAAACTAAAGTTAAATTTCAACACCGGAAGGCATAAAAGCAAAAATTGAGTAGGTTGCTCGTATAAATATTTCAATAATCATCAGATTTTATATTGGCTTAAGGGTTGTCCTGAGACTCGTTCGAAGAACTTGCTGATTAACCAGGCATAGCCAAGCCTTTTGTACAAATCCTTGAGCAGGAAAACAAAGTCTCGTAACCACTAGATTGAATTACAATACTAGAACAGACAAAGGACCGTATTCCTTGTCTCAAAGCAAACTTCCTGCTTTATGAATGAAATAAAAACTCAGTCGCGTGTTACCGACCGCTAAACACTTCGAAAATAAGCACATAAATACAAAAATACTAAAAGTTATTTTATTAATAGAAAAAAACAACATCAAATATAATAGCGATTGCAGCTCGCACAGCAAAGAGTTTAATTTAATTAATATGTGCCACAAAAAGTAATACGATTAAATAAAATATAATAAAAACAAAAAAACCAAATCAAAGCGCAAAAAGAGAAACAATATTTATTTACATGTTTCAGCGGTAAAAGCGCAACAAATCAAATAGGCCGCCATAAATCTAATCAATTTAAAAAGAAATATATCTCTTTTGGGGCTAGCGCTGCTGTTGATAACGCGTCAAGTGCTCGACGGCAGTGCGCGAAAATCCGAGTGCATATTCAAATCGAGTCACTGATTCGAATTGTGGGCTAAAAAATAATCGAAATATCGCGAATTACAACAATTGCAGCCGAGCGCAACAAATTTACAGCGGCAATTAAGTGCGCGGCCATAAATCAAAAATCCGGCAACAGTTATCAAAATAGGGTTAAAGCACCGTTAACCACTCGGCTCAGTTTTATTTGCAGGCACCAATCACAATAACAATAAATACAAAAATACCAATAATAACAATAGCAATAGCAACAAAAGATGTGCGATAAATATGCTAAAATAGTAGCTGACAACTAACCAACCACAGCTAACGGAAAACGGCAAACAGCAGCAGGCAGCAAATAAACAATAACAATCCACTTTACCCCCACCATTTACTATTTAACAACCCGGCGTGTGAGGCTCCCCACCTAGGTGACCCCTGCCATCCAGCAGCACCCGCTATCCCCCGCAAACATGGCCTGCTTTCCGCGTCTCTTCCATCATCGCAGTAAAAACAAATTTACGCCCGCTCAAGATGAGAACACCGACACGATACTCAACACACAAGATAGCCCCGTGGTGAGTTTCTGCAACTGAGAGAGCAGTGTACACACACATACATATACATGTATACGTACATGTGGTGGCCGATAAGCGGCACTGATAAGTTGATTAAGTGTTTAATTAAGTTATGTGGCGGGGGTAACTGGCCAACGCTATAACTAAGCGTTACAGTTAACCAAATACTGAAGCTGACTAAAAATAAAAAGCAAAAAAAAACACGTGTGTAGCCAAAAACTTGTTATCCTTATCAACGACTTTGGCGAATGTGACGTTCACTTTTCACATGCCTTATCATAATAACAAAAAGAAAGAGCTTTCGTACATGCACCGAAGCTCTTATACCCTCACTAAACTGGTTGAGCAGAAATACCTTTTATATTTTATAATCTTTATTATTTACAAATTTTTTAATTTTTCTTTGTCTTTGTTAAGTTATATGTATCTTTTATAAGCAAACTTGTGTTATAGGCTTTCAGTTATGTTGGGATAATTCTACAAAACAATAGATATGCCATTTTCAAGCTTTTACTGTCAGCTTTATCAAATGAAATAATTAAGCATAACTATCTAAACGGGGCAATACGTAAAATCATAACACATTATGTACCCTTATCTATTTGTCATTGAAATCCCAATAGTTGGTAGCAATTTTTATCAATTGCCAACGCTAGGCTCGTATCTATCAAACTCATAAGCATATAAGTACATATTAATGATATATATTATGTTACTACAGTTGATGGCTTAGTTTTGGCTTCTGATAATAGTAAGTCTTATGTCGCCATATGCTCGGAGTTAAAAGCCAGTGCCTGAGATAGTGTTTAATTGTAAAGGACATAAGCTCTCATAAATATTTGATCGCCAAGTATTTGACGTATCAGGTTGTGATTTTCATTCACTTTGAACAGGATTTCCCATTCGAAATTGGCTTAACCAAATTACCCAGGCCCATAACAATATCTTTGAAATTGCAATGGCAGCACTTGGTTTGGTTGAAACAAAAGCACACACTTAATATGCAAAAATATGATAAGCATGCACATGAATTATGTGTGGGAATGAAACTCATGCATAAATCGAACCCAAACATATTCCAACCGGCAAATGGAACATAAATATGCACAGTTCGTAGGTGCGCAGCTATCGATGGAAGAAACATTGAGTGCCGTAGTCTGTACTAGAGCCTGCGGTTGCTGACGGGATGTGAACGTGATAAGGATTGTCAGGATTGCACGCACATGCCAAAATAAACGTGGAGTTCAAAGTCAAAGTCGTCAAATAAACAACGCCCCAGAGGAAAATAAATGCATTAGATTTGACATCTTGAAGTGTTGCCAGCTAGCGCTGCGATATATACAAAATAAAAATAAGTAAGAAGTTCTAGTCGGGAGCTCCCGACTAGGGGATACCCTGACCCTCTTCTCCCAAGATCAAATGCATATATATATATTCTATTTTAGAAGCTATATGTCAAGTTTGGTGACTCTAGCTCTTATTATTTACCAAAATTGCCCAAAAAACAGGATATCGATATCGATTTTTATAGATTGCTTGGAAACGGAGTAAATTATCGATTATCGGAAACAAACTCGATCTGTGCAGGCACTAGGAACACCTACATCTAAAATTTCAAGTCTCTAGCTCTTATAGGTTCTGAGATCCTTGCGTTCATACATACGGACGGACAGACAGACGGACGGATATGGCTAGATCGACTCGGCTATTGGTGCTGATCAAGAATATATATACTTTATGGGGTCGGAGATGCTTTCTTTTGCCTGTTACGTACATTTTGACTTTGCAGAAATAAAATATACCCTTATACCCATTTTTAATGGGTTCAGGGTATAAAAATAAAACATATGCACTGTGTTTTTTGACAAATTTATGACATCGATATACTCTTACTTTAATACTGGTGAGCAATCCTTTGTAGGCAACGATTAGCAACAACAATCGGAATCGCATCAAAACATCCATCAGAATAATCGTTTCGGGCGGCTGCCCCCCTCGACATAGCGAGAGCATTTCCCAGCGATTCTTTTCTGGCGTTTTCCGTGGGAAAACGGAAAACCTGTCAAAATGTCGTCGTTTAAGGCTGATTAGCATATCAAAGTAGAGACAACCACGCGACCTGCATATTGACATGTGTTTATTTATGCGGCTTGTGAGCTGCCAAACGACAACAACAGCAACGATGCCACATTGTGGCCCCCCCAAAAGGTTTGAATATTTTATTGCCCGCATGCCTGGCTGCCAATTGAGCGATAAGACGCTCTGCTATTTTGCGGGTGACACCACAAGAGCAGAGTTGGGAGTTCAAAAAATGCCTTTAAAGTCGAACGAGGCCGGCATAAAAGTCACTAATCGCTGGCGCTACTTTAGCTCATTTAACCCATAAATAAATGTTTATAACCAAGATTATTGGTTAGTTCTAATATTAATTAAAGTCTTAAAGCATCCCTTAGAAGCATACATCCACCAAATAGTGCCCAAAATGACTAGTGCAAACGAATGGGATCAGAATTATTTTTACTTATTTCTCAATTTGTCTTTAGTTACATTTTTATACCCTGAACCCATTAAAAATGGGTATAAGCACTAATAGCCGAGTCGATCTAGCAATTTCCGTCTGTCTGTCTGTCCATCTGTCCGTCCGTCCGTCCGTCCGTCTGTCAGTCTGTCCGTAAGTATGAACGCAAGGATCTCAGAACCTATAAGAGCTAGAAGAGCTTGACATATTAGATGTTGGTGCTGCTAGTGCCCGCGCAGATCGAATTTCTTTCCGATAATCGATAACTTACTCCGTTTCCAAGCAATCGATAAAAATCGATATCGGTATCCTGTGTATGCATTTGATGTTGGAAGAAGAGAGTTCAGGGTATCCCCTAGTCGGAAGCTCCCAACTAGAACCTCTTGCTTGTTTATTGTTATAGAAGCTATTAAAATGATTTCATTGGACAAAGAATACCAAATATTTGTACATAAAATATTTTACTTATATTTTATCAATAGTGGGCTTTGTATTTATTTTAATTTATTTATTTTTTATCTTGTCAGTATCTAAAAAGCGTTTCATTCTATCTTTACCAGCAATATCTCCACAACTGAAACTTCATTGAGATTTTCATTGGAATTTCGCACTAACATAAGCTTGTTTCTATTTTAAACTTTTTTGTTTACAGTCATAAAACAAAGCTTTAATAATACTTCTTGCTACTTCACATAAAAAGCGTTTCTATCTTTATCAAGTGCACATATAAATATAAGCAAATAACAATACTCAAATAATGTGAGCACGACATTAATATGAAAGTCAACCTAACGAACTTTAAATACTCTTACATAGAAAACCACAGTATGTTTAAGCTGATCGCTATTAATATTTTAGTTATTAATTAATTAATTAAAGAAAGCAAAAAGACTTTGAACTTGAACACCTAAGCTACAGACTTTGCAGCTATGTGAATGTAACTTACTAAATGAGTGTATTCGAGATATACTCACATATTTAGATACCGCATCTATAGGTACACATGAAAAGAACATTTATTATTTATTTTAAACAACGTGCCCGTAAATAAAACAACAGACAAACAAAGGAATCGGCACAGATAAGGTTGTGGGCCAAGTTGGAGGCTATCAACATGGCACTGGAAAAAAGTCAATATTAATGAGAATTGGATACTCTTTTATAGTACTCGTGACTAATTCGAAGACAAATGCGAATAACTCGATTAGTTTTGGGTTGGCAAATTTCAAAGGAATTGCAAATTTAAATTTATGCCAACAGCACTTTTAGTTTTATAAAACTGCGAGCCAACATACATACACACACACACACAGACACACAGTCGCACACCCAATAAAAGTCCATCAACCCGATAAACCTATTCGAAATTCCTGAGCTGTCACATAATCAAAAGTGGGAAAAAGCCCCTCTGACTTTCGTTTCGTCAGCTGGCTGCGAGTCGGATTTAAGCAAATGACTTTTTTTTATGCAATATGAAGAGCAAAGCTCAAACGTATGAAAAGTATTTGCCACAAGTATAATGCGTACTCAGTGCAAATACAAATACGAATACAAACGCGACAATATAGAAACATATTTATAAGGCGCAAATGCTACAAACGCCAACACAATGGCCGTTTGTTGTTGTTTATTGAGGCTCAATGGCGGGATAAACTGGCAACTGTTGCAGACATTTAACTGCACGGCTCTCCCCATTTATCAGCCGTGTCAGCTACAGATTGATTTCAAAGCAAGGGACAGATATACCAGCACATCAACACACACACCCGCAGAGAGTCAAGCAAAGCAGCCGGCATTATTTGCTTACTTTCACAGATTGTTTGGGAATTTCCTTTTTTAAATGATTTTTTTTGTTGTTGCCGATTTGTTGGCATTTTCTGAGTAGCAGTAGCAATTGTTGTTCCTTTTGCAGTTATATACATATATTGTATTCTCTTTGTTAGCAGAGACCTGTTGACATTTGATGCGATTTGAGGTCCCGCAGTGAATAAAGCTAAATTATGTTGGACATAAATTTCAACAGCTGTCGAGTTTAAGTCCAGCTGGCAGCTAATGCTTAGAAACCTTTTTATCCTTACAAAATATTTATGCTTTTACTCTAAATGGTAGTTATGTTGAAATAATTTCTGCTGTGACACGAATTAATGGAACTATAATAATGGATAGCAGATGAAAAGGGTTTTCTTTTTTATTTTGAAAACTTCTTTATCTTTCCCATCTTATTGAATAATCAATACTCTTTAAGTATACAACTTAGTCTAAAATCCATATATTTTAATAACAAACATAATTATGTTCGAAGCTAGTTGAAGTTATGAATCAGGTGTTAATCTGACCACAATATTCTTATCAACAATTTTTGTAATATTGACATTCAATTGCTTTATAAGCTTATTTTAAGATTTGGGCACATACCTCACGAAAGAATAAAAATCAGATAAATTTAAAAAATTATAAATTAAATACTTTTCGAAACAGAACAAATATTAATTTCATCCTTAGAGGACCCCATTGAACCAGAAAAAATAATGGATTTGCGACATATGCAATCGCACTATTTCTACTTCTGTTAGCCGAAAGTTGCTTATATATTAATAATTATAATATTGTGGTAGTGTATTGTGTATTGTATTGTATTGTGTGCTCTATGATAAAACCATATTAGGTTTAGCTTTAAATGTAAAGAACTTTTAATTTAATAAGCTTAGCCGTAGTTCGCCAAAACTGCCAATACACAAATTAATATATGCCCTTGCATTATCATGTATGGGTATTTCCAAATTAAATTATTTCTTAATATTAAAGATCTGTCTTTTATGTTATTGTATTTTATCGCTTAATTTTTCGTGTTCATTTTTAGCAAATTGGTCTCTACATACGACGCGAGGAGAAACCACTTTACTCGCCCATAATTACGCCTAGTGCCAGTGAGGTGAGTGTCTTTTTTTTAGCAGGTTAATCTGTTACAAAGCACTGCTCCTAGCACAAACTCACGGGTCCGGCGGCCATCCATCCAACCTATTCAACCTATCCGACCGTTTTCTGCTTGTCTTTGGCAAACTCAATTAATATTTGCACACATGTTTCTTATACTTTCAAACGAAATGATGCTAACGACAACGGCAACAACAACACAAAACACTTGTAAATATGTACACAACACAACAACAACACAAACAATACCCACGGACCCATTTGCACCCCGCACTTTTGTTTGTCTTTGTAAATGTTTGGACGTACGTCCACACCTGGTTCCCACCGGGTCCTATTAGGCGCAACTGCAGCGCCTAAAACAACAGCCCTCCAGTTCCTCCGTTCAGCCGCTCCAGGCTGTAGCCGAAAATGTGGTCAGCCCTAACATTACTGGCAACACTGCTGACAACAATGCCGACGACAGCATCGGAAGCCAGCACCATGAGCAGCAGCAACAGAAGCATCCAAAGAAATTTCGTTCGCACAAAAGCAGGCTTCAAGCAGAGGATAGAGAAAAGGAGAAGGAGAAGGTCTCGACAGTCAATGGAAGTGCAATTAATGTCACACGTACCAATTCAAAATTAAAACCCGTCAAAGAACGACGCCCCACCGCACTGCCTACCGAGGCGCCCAACGTGAATGGAGCCCAACGTGTTTCTGATGTGGATGCCGATAAGGAACGGGCAACGGGGGAGCTGGAACAGGTTGCTGATGTTGTGGACGGAGAGTCAAAGCTCAAAGGGAATGTGAATGGCATAATTGATGAGAACGGTGACAATGAGGCTGTCAAAACTCCATCGACAGGAACGCCTTCGATATTCACACCAATACCAACACCGCCAGCAAAGGCAAATGTTAAATTTTTCATTGGTCATACACAGGAACTAAATGCCGAGCAGCCCTCTGATGACATTCTGTCCTGGCATAGCAATGATGCCAACAACAACAGCAACAGCAACAAGCTGACAAATGGAACATTACCAACTGCCCAACAAGGACATGCACATGGACAGCGGCTGGCCGAGTCAATGACGGCGACAACGGCGACGTCGCCAAAGGTGCCCGCAAAGAGCTGCAGCAATGTGTCACTCAATTATCTTAGAAGGTCCAAAAGCACGATAGCCAGCACAGAGCCAGTGACCACCAGCCAGCGGAGGCGTGTGTCGACCATGCCCGACATTAACATACCAACACCGCCACCCATGCCCCTAGAGCTCCTAAAGCCGGTAACACCGCTGCATTTGCGCAAGAAGCGAAGTGCGGAGCGTCAAGCTGCTCAGGACTCGCTTCCAGTAGCCACCCTCGATGCTTCAGTCAGTCAAGTATGTAACAAACCAGTTTAGCTCCACGAAAAGGTCATCTGAATTTTGTGGCCAGTTGACACCAGTTTGTGTCATTTTTCGAGCTGTCGGTAAACTTAAAGCTTAGGATATACCCAGGTCTCTGATGGATAAGGAGTATATTTGAACATTCAACTAGAATTAAGTAGGTGGGAATGTTGTGAAGCTCTCGCTATCGAATCCTATATTTCACACAGTTTTAAAGTCATAGCTTGAAAGTCAATTTCGTAAAATTACAGTTTGCGAGTAATCGGTTATTACTGTAGGTAAGATCATGTTTATCGAATAGATAATATATCTGCTAAATGCAAATGCATTAGATGCACCTAATAGATTCATGTTATAAATATTATTTTAATATCAAAAACTTTGCCCAATTGAAAACCTTGTTCGTGCTCCCCCTGAGCGAAATGTGCAATTATTTTACCAGACCAATACAACATTGTTTAACCTGGGCGTGGCAGTAGTTAAGTACCCATTATTAATTAAATAACCCTTTCTACTTCAATATGCAGCAAAAATAACAAAAGTGTGCACAACATGGCCAACAGCTGTGTAAAAGTCGGTATATTATTGTACAAACTAGCAGTGGGAGTCGAGGCGGGATGTTGACTTCTCGGCATGCTACTAATTACAAGCGAAATGTTAATTGTTTGGCAACAGACATGAACTCTAACTTTTGGCCAACAAAAACAGGCAACAGATAAAACTGTTGCTTACCCTATCACGCAGGACTTCCTCTTTCTCTTTCGCTCTCCCTCTGCTTTCATGCAGTTGATGCTCTTTTACTGTCTGGTTACATTGCTTAAAGCGCCCGATACTTACCTGTATCTAAACGCTCTCCCTGCTTAATGCCGCTGAGGCAGCGAATTTGCCAACCCACTAATGAATTTTGGCTGATGTTGCGCCTTGTGAGACGCCATCCCTATATTATGCGACTTCGCCTGCCTACGTGCAGCGACTGTGACTGCGATAGTTTGGCCTCGCAGATCTGGCCCCAACCGGAAACGCTTATAATGGTTGCGATTCCACTGTGTAAATGGAGGTAAATATTTAATGGGAAGCGTCCGTTGAGGCCCGCGGGTACACAACCCAACCCACTTTAAAAGCTCGAAAAATCTTTAATTCACCAAAAAAGGACTGAGTAAACTTGAGTGGGGCTGTGTTCCCAGGCAGTGATAAACTGTCGACTAAATTGAAATGTCCCATGTTCCATTTGATGTCAAAGAAGAGGCGCCTTAACAATCAAAACATGTTGGGTCAACCCTGAGCTAATCTCGAAGCTCAACTTAAACTGTCAACAAATAACCACAAGACTCAGTTGACCATTAAAACATTGGAAAAAACAAACAAACAAACAGCTAAATAACCCGATATTTGGTTTGATTTGGTTTACTTTTGGGCTATTGTTCGAAATCAACCGCATCAATTAGGATGAAACGTCCAAGCTAGAGGACAGCGAGAGGGCCAGCAGAAGCAGCAGCGGGTCTGCAACGAAAATACATCGCGTGGAGGGAGGTCTCATCTATGTGCGACCGAATTTGCCCGTGCAGCAGAATATTGAAATCGAATTTAATGCAAAGGACGAAGCGTAAGTTGAGTAAACATCTATTGTTGATTGACCAAGGTAAGCCGTATCTATGTGGGTCCGCCTCACTGCATTCCTTATTCTAGTACACGCAATCTCATACTCAATGCCATCGAACGAAACGATTTCCTCAATAATCTAATGGACAAGGAGCGCAAGGACATGGTCATCAATGCAATGGCACCAGCCAGCTACAAGAAGAACAGCTACATCATCAACGAGCACGACGAGGGCTCCGAGATCTTTGTTTCCGCCGAGGGCTACTACGATGTCATACAAGCGGGTCAGCATGTGGGCAACTTTGGGCCTGCCACCGTCTTTGGTGAACTAGCAATACTCTACAATGCGCCACGCAAAGCCACTATAAAGGGTAAGTAGCTCCATGTCCAGAAGTGTAACCGTGCGAGTTAATTCTGCCTTGCAGCTGCCACCGATGCGCGAGTTTGGAAGATTACGCGAGAAACGTTTCGTGCCATTATGCAAATCTCGGGCTCTAGGGAGCGCGAGGAGAACCTGCAGTTCCTACGCTCAGCTCCATTTCTGCAGGAGCTGGAGGAGAGTCTTCTCACCAGAGTTGTCGATCTGTTACAGCGGGTAGGAGCTCTTACATTTCTTAACAAGTATCCATAACCATTTTGGATATGTTCGCAGAAATTTTACGAGACAGGCAGCTGCATTGTACGCGAGGGCGAGGTGGGCAATGAGTTCTTCATCATACGCGGCGGCACGGTGACCATCAAGAAGAAGAACCAAGCTGGGCAGGAACAAATTGTTGCCAAGCGTAAGCGTGGCGACTATTTTGGGGAGCAGGCACTCATGAACGCGGACGTACGACAGGCGAGCGTCTATGCGGATGCGCCAGGCACTGAGGTGCTCAAACTGGAGCGAGAGTAAGAATAAAAAATCCACTAAGTATGCCCGTAGTATATGTTGCCCTCCTCACAGAGCCTTCATCAGCTACTTGGGCACCATAAGGCAGCTAAGCGAGAAGCCCCATGTGCAGACCAACAACGAGAATGGACGTTCGAGCAGCAAAGGCGCCGAATTCGATAATGAGCATGCCCACATCGCAATCTCGGATCTGAAGAAAGTAGCTACTCTGGGTGCCGGCGCTTTTGGGCGTGTGGATCTGGTCACACACAACAGTAAGGCATTCGCGCTGAAGATCATTAAGAAGATCGAGGTGATCAAGCAGGATCAAATCGAGCACGTCTACAATGAGAAGAATGTTATGATCAAGTGCCGCGATTCACCCTTTATAGTGCAGTGAGTAGATCCAACCTGAAATCTAATGACAGTTCAACTTTGGGAAACCCTTTTACCTAGACTCTATCGCACCTATCGCAATGAGAAGTATGTGTACTTTCTGATGGAGGCCTGCATGGGCGGCGATGTCTGGACGGTCATGTCAAAGCGTCAGTATTTCGATGATAAGACTGCCAAATTTATAGCGGGCTGTGTCGTAGAAGCCTTTGACTTTCTGCACGCGCACAACTTTATCTACAGGGACCTCAAGCCGGAGAACCTAATGCTCAGCAGCGATGGCTACTGCAAGCTGGTGAGTTGACATCAAACTTTGAATATCACATATTTTAAATGGCCATTTTTAACATTTATCAGGTCGACTTTGGCTTCGCCAAGTACGTGCGTCCCAACGAGAAGACCAACACGTTTGCCGGCACGCCTGAGTATGTGGCGCCCGAGATAATATTGGATCGCGGTCATGATCGCGCCGTGGACTACTGGGCACTGGGCATACTTGTGTACGAGCTGCTGGTTGGCAAAACACCCTTTCGCGGGGTCAATCAAATCAAGATCTACCAAAACATCCTGAGTGGCATCGATGTCATACACATGCCCTCACGCATACCCAAGTCTGCGCAGCATCTAATACGGCATCTGTGCAAGCAGCTGCCTGCCGAGCGGCTGGGCTATCAGCGCAAGGGCATTGCGGACATCAAGCGGCATAGCTGGTTTGACAGCCTGGACTGGACCCGACTTAGACAGAAGCAGCTTCCCTCGCCTATAAAGCGCAACCTGAGGAGTTTGACAGACCTGCAATACTTTATCCACGCCCAGGAGCCAGACTACGAGCCGCCCGAAGAGCTAAGTGGCTGGGATAAGGACTTCTAAAAAAGTATATATACCCAAAGACATTGTTCATAAGTAAATAGATTTTAATCAGTTAGACCGTAGGTACGAGGCGAATACGTGTCATAAGCTGTAAATAAATTTGATATTATGATTGTTTAAAATTGATGACTTTCAAAAGTTGATCTGGAACCCGACTGTGCACTCCCGATGTTTTGCAATTTAACTTTGGCTAGCTGCGGTTGATGCCGCCCAATCATCAGGTTATTTGTTTTCGCCACTTCAATTAGAAGCGCAAACTAGTTTTGCTGTTATCGAGATGTCACACGCGCACACACACACACACACACACACACACACAATATAGTTAGCCAAGCAACTAGAATAAATAAACATTTTCAATTAAGCGCTTTCAGCGAGTTTTCACTTGGCTCGCGACACATTGTTAACAAAGTTTCTACGTTACAAAGCGCTGTCCAGTTCTCTGCAGTGTCCAAACTCTTAAAGATACATATTTGGGCTGCAGACAGCTTTAAACATCATTAGGTGGCACTTTGTAATTGTGTCTTAAAGCAACTTTGTCGTCCTATTGTCTGGCTTGTAGGGCTGAGCTTGTGCTGTCGTCATCAAGAGCTGACGCAGTCATTATTGCCCGCATGCCGTTGACATTTATTTGTATCTTATAGATACTTCTAAAAGCACATCCAACATAATTGCATTGTGTGCATGTGGCTTTTCATGCCACGTTGCGAATGCTGCACATGACACAAACTTTATTGTTTTTGAATATAATAATAAAGTGGAGCTTGCCTTACGGCTGCTAACGAACGAGCAAGGTTTCCCATCTAGGTAGATCCAACAAGTGCGAGCAAAGCTGCCCAGAAACCTCAAGTGTGTGTGTGTTTCTGTGTGCGTGTGTGTGTGCGTCAGCTTGGTCGTTATGCAAATATGAAACGGAGTCGAGTGCAATTATGTGAACTTGAGGTCTTTATATCAGGTCTCTGTGGACCACCTCGAGCCAATGTTCTACGAGTCCAACTCGTTATGAAACTTCAGCCCTTTGTTTGATTTCGGGCTGACGAGTTCAAATATGAAAGGAAAATTTAGTTTTATTTTTGTAAAAAAAAATAAAAATGTTCTTATCAATATATGTTTCTATTCTAATTTATGTTCATAATTAAAGTTGCCAATCAAATCGGTTCGAGTTTGGTTTTTGTTTTGATTTAATCACAAGCATCGGTGGTTCAGTGGTAGAATGCTCGCCTGCCACGCGGGCGGCCCGGGTTCGATTCCCGGCCGATGCAGACAAATTTTTTTTTGCTTATAAAATATTTTCTTTAAAATAATTGTAAACAACATAAACACCTATTGCCATAGTCACAGAGCTAAGTATTGAGAGGAAATAAAAGAGCTCTTTCAGTCATAGAAAATAATATTGCTGCTTTGCAGTTGTTGTTGTTGTTGTCCCTCACTTGGCCTTGTTATAAACACAAACCGATGATGTAGGAAAAAGCCACAAAAAATAATAAATGATGATTGATAATAACGTTTTGCTACCTTCCTTCCGTTGGCAGTCACAGTAAACGAATAAGCCAAATAAAAGAGAGTATGTAAAGGAAATCAATAAAAATGATGGCGACAACATTTGGTCACAATTTCAATTTTGTGGCAGCCAAGCAAAACGAGCAAAACGCCGCAGCATTCCAACAATTTCCGACCGCCGTCTGTGGCGGCGGCAAGTGAAAATTTTCATTTTCCCAACTGTCGCAAATGTTTGCTACATATTTTCTTAGACACCTTAGACAACGCCTTCCAGCATTTCTATGCGACTGCACACCGCAGCGACAAAGTTGGACGAAATGTCATCATTTCCGTTGGGAAGACTGTGCGCGCTCAAGCGTCAACGACGAGGACGAGGACGAGGACGTGAACGCGGACGAGCTCGACGTCTACTAGAAAACGAGCATGTCGACGGGTTATCAGTAAAACAGAGCGCGCACACCGGGCGAAAAGGGTTAACTAAGGCAAACCATGCAAATCCCTTTTTATTTGCCCGAAAACTTTTGATGCAAAAAGCCTCAAAAATATATATTTCGTCGAATCCAAAACGCAGGACGAAAGCAGCGAGTCGGTTCGAGCCCTAGGGCCACTCAATGCTGCCGCGCACGGTTCTTAAACGAAGCGTGAAATTGTTAAATGAGTGCGAATGTCTACGAAGTAGCAGGATATCCGAAGGGTCGACCTAGTAGACGGCGCTGCCTTCCTTGCATTTGTGTGAAATTATTGATTAAGAAAGTTGCCCGACATGCACGTTTGGTCAACTTCTACTCGCCAGATATACCCCTGCTCCGTTCAATCCAATTGAATCGAATTGAGTTTGTGTCTCGCCTGGGCTCTCATTGAATTGAATGCCAATTGAGTCCAGTCTTTGAATTATAATTAAATAATGACGTTTGCAACTAGCATTTATGTTACAGAAATTTAGTTGGATCACAATCGAATTTGTGTGAAGTTAGTTAGTTACACTTATACAAACCTAAGTTGAGGTGCTTCATTCACATTACGTATACGCAACGTTGTGCCTACATTCAGTTTTGTCGCAGCACACATCATTTAGATCCCAGAATATTAACATGTACCATCATCGAGTACAAGTCGAGCCCCTTCTGATAATCCTAAACAATATTTGAATATTTAAAACATGTCTCCTGCAGGCTACACATGCTCTGTACATTCGTACATAAGCACGTGTGTGAGTTTTTGAAATCTTTTGGAACAAAACTGTCAAAACAGGCCTAACAAGCAATTTATAACTTGCGGATGGCAACGAACACAAAATGAAAGCAAAAGAAAATGTTTTTCATAGTTTGAACTCTTGGTTAAACTATGTAGATACTCGAAATAGGCCTAATATATGCAGCCTTGGCAAACTTAAAGCTCCTTAAAAACTTGGACTTTACCCATTCAAATATACGAATGCAAATTTTGTGCCAAGCCTAAAGGACTTGGCAGCACGGCTGCTCCTTGCATAACTTGTCCACAATCTGATTGGGGCTACAAACAGCATTTTGACCCTAATCAATGTGAGTATTGTTTACCTACACTTTTCTAACATCTGATGCCCGACTGCCTACACAACTGTGCTCAAATATGTTTCATATTTCGATTGAAGCCAGTTGTGTCCATTGATTTAATCTATACCTGTACACATTTCTCATAATAGACTGTTCAAACTGTTGTGACAACACTTCAGAAGCTTAGAAACTGCCGAGCTGAGTCTTAGGCCATACTTTTTCATAGCAGAGCAACCAACATTAAGAGTATGTGCCAAACATTAAGAGGAAAATAAATGTATAAAATATGTGCATTTTCATTCTACGGTGCAGATTTAATTTCGCTTAAGCTCTATTTTTCAACATTTTTAAACATTGTTCCCTGGAGTGTGAAAGTAAAATGATTCACAGAATTAAATATAGAAACTGGCTTAAAGCATCGATTTGAATCAAATAAGTCACAATATAAATATATAAAACAGTTCGCCCAGACCGACTGAATGACTGACCGACTCATTGCCAAGCTGAAATTGCTACTGAAGCCTCATTTTAGGTCACACTAAGTTGAGTTGCAAGGCGGAGTTTCGAAAGTGTGAAACTTTTGGTTTAAAAATTATTTTGACAGATCTTTGCTTAAATTTATTTGATAGGTGCTTGACACTTTTCGAGAATTGAAGCCCTTCCTAGTGAAAAGGATCACTTCAAGGATCTTTATAAGAATTCATTGGATATGTGTTTACCACGAGATGCTAAAGCCACCCTTACCGGGCGGAAATGCGGTACGAAGATGAGCGTCGGGCTAACATGTGGCAGGTCAGGCAGGTTTTTTTTTTCAACTACAATGCTGTCATATGTATTTCAAGACTTTTTCGTAACTGACATTTGGTAACTAACCTTAAGCAATCAATTTGTTGGGATCAGTTTCATCATCATCAGCACAAATAGTGGTATTATAAAGTGGATATCCATCAGTGGACAGCACCGAAGATAACTCCCCAATTGGCACTTACATGCACGCAAGTGCTGAACATCAACTAAAATCCTTTTTGCTGCATTCAAATCACAAAACAAATCATCACAGGCCTCGGCCAGGCCCATACGCACACCCATACCAGCGCCAACAAATGCCGCTGTGTTGACCATTTACAGGCAAAACACACAAACGGCTGCCCTGGGTGCAATTTGAAATTTGGGCATTCAATAACGATTTACACAATATACATAGGCACACTGGCACAAGCACACACACATGAATATCGTACGTGCGGTCCGAGCAAATAAGCTTTAAAATTTTACCATTAACAGCCGCCCAATGTTTACAAATGGCAGCTGAGAAGCAAAAGCAATGCAAAGTTGTCCTGTTTTCAAATGTGCGTTTAGCACGTATGGATTTGTTGTGCTGGCAGCAGCAGGGACAACAAATGATTGTCCTTTGCCAATGTGATTCCATTGAGAGCTGGGCGTGGTCAGCTGATTGGGGCGGCCGCTCGATTGCGATCTAATCAGCTTCGTTCTAAAAGAAGCTGTTAACAATATTGTCAATTTGGTGTCCACTCGCTGGCTGAACAACCGACAGCTAGGCGGGACGGCAGCTAGTTTATTTTTATGTTGAGAAAAACTTAAATTTGCATATTTTTTTCTCGCTACTTTGGTTTTTTTGTGCCAGGTTGTTGTGCTGTTGGGACCTTTTTGTGTCCTTGCTGCTGCTGATGTTCATTTTGTGTGCGTCGGCTGAGTAGCGTTTGCCACATAAACACTTTGGTGCTGAACACTATGAATAATTAATGAGTTTTGTGTTGTTGTTGCCGTTGCCGGTCAAGTTGTTGTTGTTGTTGTTGTTGTCGTCGCTGAGAACTTTTAAACAGGCAACCAACAATTGCTGTTTGTTTGCCTTTGTGTGGCATGTTTTGGGCGCTGCTTAGCCAGTAGGCTCATGCAATATTCGTGTGGCATTTAGGGCACTCAAGCAGTTGTTTCCTTGAAATGTGTTCCAAATTCAGAACTGAAACTTTGTCAAATAATAACACTATTTAATTTCACTTGGATGGGAAATTTAATAAAAGTTTTCCTCAATCTATTATTTTACTGAAAGTTG